GTACATGATGGTCTTAATGGTGGTATAGTGACAGTGAGCTGATAATCCTTCCTAGCATGATATAATTACTCTAATGTTTTTTCAATACAAACTATAATTTTAGATTGTGTGATATTTATTTGGTAGTTATATTATTTCAAAAAAAAAAATTAGAGTTGGACCCACTTATAGGCTATGTACTTAATCCCAAGTATATGTTACGCCCATATATAGGTTCTAAATACATACTGAAAATTAAATTTTTTTAGTTTCAAAACTTGACCCATTATAATAGAATGAATCACAAGTTATAAACTTCAGTCAATGATCTTTTACATATAAACTTCAATCATGATCAAGAAGGGTAGATCATAAAAACTTCACTCATGATCATATGTACAGTTACACCTAATGTGGATATCTTATTTAAATAAAATGATGTAAAGTTTATTGTGCTTTTTTTCTTTTTTCTTTTTTGTTTTGAATTGGATTTTGCTTTTCATTTATATGCCTATATTTTTCATTTGTTTTTTTAATGACATGTTCTTATTTGCAATGTTCTTAATATTCAATCTTGAAGATGGATAACAATGATGATGATGATGATGAAGAGATTCTTCTTCTTTATGCACAATTTGTTGGTGTCATGACTGTTATGTATGGTGTTTATTACTTGGTACAATATGATGAGAAGTCATGACACAATTGTTATCTGACACAACGCCAATTTGTCTGGGGCATGACACAAAGTGATGAACATTGTCATAATCTATTAAGAATGAATGTGGAGGTTTTTCAAAGATTTATATACATACTTAAAGGTACTGGAAGGCTAAAAGATACCGCGCACTGTAGTCTTGAAGAACAATTAGCCATGTTTCTATATATAATATTAAACAATCTCAAGAATCGAAGTGCAAAATGCCACTTTAAGAGGTCTGGTGAAATCTTATCCCGATAATTCCACATAGTCTTAAATGCTAAAATAGGCATGAAAGATGACTTTTTAAACCAACCTACTTCTCAAACGGAGACCCCTACAAAGATACGCGAAAATCATAGGATGTGACTATATTTTAAGGTAAAATATTCTAAAAACAACACTTTTTAATATATTTACAGTATTGTGTACACAAATTTCTCATTTGTTATTGATGCAAGTAGGATTGTCTGGGTGCAATTGATGGTACACATCTTCTTGTGAAAGTTTCAGCCAAATATGTTGGACAATTTCATGGTAGAAAAAAATGGCCTTCCCAAAATCTATTAGCTGCTTGTATGCTAGATTTAAGATTTATCTATGTCTTAGCCGGTTGGGAAGACTCAGCATCTGTTTCTCGAATATTAGGTTGTGCTATTAGTCAGAAGCATGAGATTACATGCTCTTCAGGTAATTATGTACTTCAACAATACAGATAAATTATTTTGAAATGGATTAATACAACTTTAATTCTATGTTTTTGTTTGTGTAGGCAAATTCTATCATGTAGATGCGGAATTTACATTGTTAAAGCATTACATTACCCCATTTCAAAGTACTAGATACCATTTAAATGAAATAAAAGAGCATGTACCAACCACATCAAAAGAGTTGTTTAACCATAGACAATCGTCTTTACGAAATGCAATTGAGAGAGCCTTTGGAGTATTAAAAAAATGATTTTGAATCTTAGTGGATGAACCAATGTTTAGGTATACAACTCAGACAAAGATAGTAATTGCATGTTGCATTGTACACAATCATTCGAGGAGTGATGTTAGATGGTCCACTTTTAGCTGATATTGATCGAGAGATGCAAAATCAACCAACCACAACCCATGATGATGTTGATACACAATTAACAAAGGCTCAAGATGGAAGGGAAGGAAAAAGGATTTGAACGCAAATTATGAATGAGATGTCGAATGATTTTTGTAATAGACAGTAGTTGGATGCTTGCTCATAACGTACTTTAATGTTTTTAGATACATGAAAATGGTATTGTATGTCTCTTTATTAGGGTAGTGGTAAAATAAATACTATATTGTTTTTGATATGGTTTGCCTTTCATTTATGCATGTTTTTTATTTTATAATGATTACGTTTCTTATTTCAATTGTTATTATATACACTTTTGAACTTTTTAGGAATGGAGCAAGATGAGTCTCAATCCCTCGCAGGAGATGGGAAGAAAAAAAAATGTAGTATAGTCTAAGGAGATGGATCGATGTCTCATTTTGGAACTGGTACATCAAGCTATTGAAGGTTATAAAGTAGATAAGGGCTTTAAAGGTCAAGCTTATACTGCAGCTTTGTCAGCTATAAATGCTAGTTTTAACCTTTCATTGAGTCGATATAATTGTGTTAATCAATTAAAAACATCAAGAAAAAGATTAGATTTATACAAGATATGTTGAGCAAAAGTGGATATGCTTGGAATTCAATGGCAAAACTGGTCAAGTGTAGTGATCAAGTCTGGGCTACATATGTTGTTGTAAGAATATTTTTAAATAATAATGACTTCTAAACGTTACATTTTTGCAATAAAAAAAAATTAAATCAATTTATCGAAATATGCCTAACTATTATGTTTGATACATTTTGTAGGCAAATCCAGAAGCAAAAGGATTGTGTGATAAGAAGATTGATATGATTAATGAATAAGCTATTGTGTGTGGCAATGGTCAAGCAATCGGAGAATGAGCATGTTTAGGTAAAGATATAAATACAATCTCGTCAAGACAAATGAATGATTGTGGCGATGAGTACACACCAATATTCGATCTTAATGAGAATACGATAATCGATGACTAGGGTGGTATAGAAGGCAATGGATCTGACCATCAACAAGACAATGGCAGTAGTTTAATACATGCTCAAGGCAATCGCAACCATGGATCTTCGAAGCCTATGAGACGTCATTCAAAGAAGCCGAAAAATGCAGAGATAGTTGTTGGAACAATAAATGTTGTTGCAAATAACATGGCAAAAATAGCTGATGCATACAAGAAGAGTAAGTCTTGCATAAATTATTAAGACCTTTACAAAGTTGTCATGGATGTTGAAGGGTTAGATATTGATAGTCGAATGACCGCTTTTGAATACTTGAACGCAAATTCTATCAAAGCGAGGGCATTTTTTATCTATCCTAAAAAAATGTGCTATTTTTTTTTAATTCGCCAACTATCACAAGGAGGCCCGATGCTATAAATTAAAGGTCGAGTGGTGACAATGATCCATGCATTTTCGGTTAGAGGATTATAAGTTCCTTGGACTTAGTTTTATAGTGTGGTCGAATAAGATTGCATGTTATTTTAATAATTTGGACATAATTTATGTTTGGTGGGATTTTGGTTACTATTTTCGTGTGTTAAGTATTATTAGGTCATTTAAGAGAGTATATAGCGTGAATGTTACATTCTATTAATTTATGGATTAATAATTGGCGTTGGGTTCTATGGGGAACTCAAATTGTGTCTTACAATGTCAATCAAAAATTAGACCAATTTAACGAACTCGTATCTATTTTTTTTCTAGGGTGATATAAATCATTTTTTTTAAAAAAAAATGTAGTGTTATAAGTTTGGTGAGCTGAATTTTAACTTGAAAAAAAAATAAAGGATGATAAATCAATTTGCAATGCAAAATAATTTATGTGAAAACAATAGAGAGAAAATTTATTGTCAATTCTATGTTCTGTAGCCATATGGGTAGAGCCACTTTTGAATAATTATACACAAGGGTAATTCAGACAATAAAATAAAATTTATTGTAACTAAATGTTTTCCAACCTAAGAATGAATTTTTTTTAAATTTCTTACAAAAATTTCATCCTAATCAAACACATGTAAGAAAATATATTTTTGTTAATTTTTTTTTTTTTCACTTCACTTTCTATCAATTTTTATCACTTTCACTTTCTATCATCTTTTTCTTTCTAATCAAACAGATCTTAAGTGACGTCTCTTTCACTATCCTTGTAAAAACCATTTTTTTCTTATATCCCCTAATTTCTACAGCAAAAAAAGTACGAGCATTTGATCCTTCATTGTTAAGACTTCTCTGTGTTTTATTTAGTGACGTATAATATGATAGTTGATTAACGATTGGAAACTATCAGGATAGACTTTGAAATGCTTTATTATATATTATTTAATGCTTATTTTTGTTGGTGTAGATCCATATTGAGGTTGTCATGTCTTCAAGAGATAATATAAGAGAAGATAATGCTAATTATGGTGCAGAAAGTTTCGTTACTGAAAAACGAGGTAAAAAGTCTCGCTCTATAGTTGGAGATATTTTTGAGAAATTACCTGCTAATAGTGAGGAGAGACAAAATGCTAGGTGTACAAAGTGTGTGTGTATGCATGCATTTTGTGTAGCAGTGTGTGTATTTTGGTGTAATATAGCGTGTGTGTATTTTAGTGTAGTAGTGTGTGTGTATTTTGATGTAATAGTATATGTGTATGTATGTATTTTGATGTAATAGTGTATGTGTTTATTTTGATGTAATTGTGTGTGTAATTTATGAGTTTAACCCAATCAATTATCACCTATTTATTACGTGAGTGAAAAATAGATTTGATTTATTTTAAAGTCAACCCAATTTAACCCAACTCATTACCAACTCAATCCACCTATTTGCCACCTCTAGACCCAGCAATAACGGGAGCCTCTGGGCACACCCTTTAATAAATATTCTAACTTATGAGTCTCAATTTTTTAGGTATTCAATTCGTTTATTAATTCGTATCTAATAAATTGTATATAAATTAGTAAAATCATATATATATTATCAACTTCACTCATATATGATGTGTTTATTAATCGTATTGTGTTGCGTCTACACATGTACGAAATTGATGATTTAAAAAAGATTCAAATTTTTTAATTTCATATTGTGGTATCAGAATGTTTTATATTTTGACATTTTATACGTTGGGTCTAGAACGAATGGGTCAATCGACCCATGGAGCATATTGATTTCCCAATAGAGGTATTGTGAAAATGGGCGTGAGACCATAAACCACATCAAGTAGCCCGAATCTCAGCGCTCCACGAAACCGAAGCCCTAATTGAGATGAGATTCGAGGGTTAACGGAGTCACAAACTGGCGGGAAAAGTCAAGGAGCCTCATCACCGGTCACCACTCTCTCTTCGAAATCCGAGATTGCTCAGCAGTTACTCTCTCTCTCTCTGCGCGCTGCGTCGAAGTCAAAGGCGAAATTCGAACGACGAACCCTCGTAGTCGCGGCAGGAGGGACTCACTGGCCAGAGCTGCATTGACGATTTCCATATCCTGGGCGTTTCCTTCCGTCAAGTTTGAAACAGCACACAGCACAGCAGGTACATCCTCTCTCTCTCTCTCGTCTGAAGCATTTCTGCCTTGTGGATTTGTGGAGATGGTCTAGAGATAATGGCTGCATGCTCTAGATTGGTAGATCCTCAATTATTCTGTGTGGGTGGGTTTTCATTTTTAGTTTGCTGCAAAGTTTTGCTTTGAAATGTATGCTATATGTTGATGTGGGTTCAATGCCTGCTTTTAGTAGGTTGGTTTATGTGTGTTTCTCCTATTTTCCCATAATTCAGAATGATTTGTAACCCCTCCCCCGCAAATAAATTAAATACTGAAAAACTAAAAACGATAGAGAACAAAGTGGATGCATGTTTGATGATTTGGGGCTTTTGTTTCATCTAATATACATTAAGCATTCTATTTTCATAATTATTATTTTTTTGGCATATTTATTATCATTAATAATTATTTTTTTATTATATTACTGGTCCGACCAGTGACCCAATGGTTGAACCAGTGGTGCGGTCTCTTTTCTCGGTTGATGTTCAGGCTGGGTTTTAAAACTATGCTTAATGCAAAATATACCTTTATCTTAAAGGATAGAATGAATACTGTTGAATTCTTTTTCTTTTCCTCAGGATGGCAAGTGCTGTTGAAGATTTATCTCAATTTGATATCTCAGAAGAGGTGGGTATACTGACACAGCGTTTTTCAACATTTGTGTTTCAAATATGGACTGAATATTCCATGTGTTCTGATTCAGAAAATCTTCTTGCTGCAGGAGAAGAACAAGCTTGTTGCAGAAGTGATTCGTTATGTTCTCTTTAAAACCCACCAGAATTCTGGATGTCCAATTAAGAGGGATGAGCTCACTCAACTAGTTACTAAAAACTATCGTCAAAGGTCTCTCCCTGCTTTTGTGATCAATGAGGCCAGATCAAAGCTCTCAAACATTTTTGGGTATGAAATGAGGGAGCTTCAACGTTCTCGCCCTTCATCAACAAATCAGGGTCGTCCTTCACAACAGAGTAGTGAGAACCTTTTAGTAACACTAGCTTAGATAGAAAAGAGTATATCTTACAGGATGCAACCATTGCATAGGCATTGCATTGCACCAAATATATCCATTCTTCTTTTTATGATGAACAAAAGTTGATTGACAAGCACAATGCTGTAATCAACTTTTAGTTGTTGCATTCATGCTTCTTGACTTCACTTACATGGCATAAATGTTAGTTTTATAAGGTGAGCAGCTGTAGTGATTGCCAGTCTGTATGTGGACCTTTTGATTGAGGACTCAACTTAGGAGGTTGCGATTGCTTTACTGATTACTGTCTTTTCCCTATGATTTGACTGCCTTATTTTGAAATTAAAAACATACAATTGGGATCCAAGTCACACATTGCCGCCATTTAGATTTGTTGAGTTCCCTTCCCTCAAGGGAAGCATGTTCAATGTCTGTCATACTATTCTAAGTGCATAGATATAGTTTGGTTCAAATCAATTTTAATAATGCAAAGTGGAAACTTTAGCCTAGGTTTGGTTGATTAAACACAGTTGGGTTCGAACATGAATCAATCTAGTATGGAGTATCTATGTTTATGTAATATTTGAGATGGGGTAATTTTTTTTTGGGTCCAAAATATTGAACTCCAACTATGATTTAGTATACTTGTAAAATAAATGGTCCAAAGGTTGTGATGCTTTTTTCGCTTGATTCATAGGTTAACGTTTATGATACATGTTTGGAATGGGATAATCAAGGTAATGGCCTCTTTTGAACAGGATGGGGGCTGAATTTATGCCACATGTGCCTCAGCAATGTCATGCATAGATTAGCATGCTTAGCATCAGATGGAGCGGAATTAGTAACTTCCTTTGATTATTATCCCAATGATCTAGACCAACTTTATTAAATCATTTCAATTAGTAAATTCAGGCATCAAGTGTTGTGTTGGCAAATGGATTATTTGGGTTCTGCTTCTGTTGTACAGTGCAGTGCCAAGACATGTTTTCATAGCTCATATCTTTCGTTTTTCGAGTATTGGCTGTAATTATGGTTTCCACTATGTATATTTCCAGGTGTTACCGATGCAAAGTCATATATTATCATAAGCCAGCTACCTGCTAATATCTACGGAAAATATGTTGAAGATATGAATACATCACATGTGACTGGTTTTACGTTTGCTGTCATTAGTATTGTACATCTTGCAGGAGGGAAAATTGCTGAAGGTATGCTCTTAAATGATTGCTTATTTATTTTTCGGAATAATTGTGAAAGTATGTCGATGGCAAATGCTTTGGGCTCGGAACAAGGGTTCTTTTGCCTAGACAAATATTTCTTTTTTAATTCTTATAGTTTTGAAAATTGAGATGATGACTATATGTTAAATTTTGCCAAGATAGTTATTATTGGTCTCACCTATGCAGGATGATAGGAAGGGTAGACTGGATGTAGGCCTAATCTTTGGTATCATATGCACGCAATGGCTGTTCTTAGACTATTATCTGCATTCTCACTCTCTTGAGATACTGAGCGTTTTACCATTGCACCTAGCATTGACCCTTATGGATTCTTATTTACAATCACCTGATGGGCCTGACCTAACACTGATGGGTTTCACCGGCTTATGATGATTTTCACCAAAGATTCTTGCCTAATTTTTTGAGGAAATCTTTTTCCAATTTAATTTGTTCTTTGTCTAATGTTGCATTTTTTTGGGAGTATAATCTATTGTGATGGAGTTTATTGTTCGTTATGCAAGAAAATCTTTGGCATCATTTAAGGCGGTTGGGATTGTTTGCAAGTAATGAAAACCATCCAGTTCTTGGAAATATTAAGGAGGCATTGGAAGCACTTGTCCAGCAAAGGTTGAAATTGTCAAATTGTGGACTGTTCATCTCTTGATAAAGTCACACATGGAACTACTTTCTGATCCTACCCTTTTCTTGTTTGTAGATATCTGCAGAAGGATAAAATTCATGGCCCCGAAGGTAATACCTTGTTTTATGAGCTTGCTGAGAGAGCTTTAGATGCAACAGTTGGAGACAGAACTAAGGAATATATATCAAAGGTACTCTTTTGTCTATGATAATTAAGTGTGCAATGATTTGGTTCTCTCTTGCTTTAGGGTTTATTTCTAGTTCGTTTAGTAATTAAGTGGTCCATATATCTAGTTCCTGCTCGCATCATTGTTCCTTTGCTTACAGAGTGAGTTCTGTTTAGCTGTTCAAAATTTCCATCTTGTTCAAGGGAATGATTGATAGACTAAACTTTTTTCCTGTGAATGTATCTCCTTCGGGATTTTTTTTTATCTGCCATTGAGTTTCTTTAATCAGTTATCGAAAAGACAATATTATGAAGGCTATGCTCAAACAAACTTGGCTATGTCAGCCAATGATATTAATTACAGAAACTTTTTGTAGTGGAATAAACTGTTTAATTTATGCAGTTTCCAAGGCTTCTGGCTAGGTTGTTAGTACACCACACTCGTTGTTTAGATGAATGGCAACAATTTGACTGATTTCGTTTTCATGACTTGTTTCCCCATTTCATTGGGTCTTTTTGTGTTATTATTTTCGCAAAGCAAAATGTCATCACAGTAATCATATCCCAGGACAGAAGTGTTGTTTTGACACCCCCAGTGACATGGGGACAAACTGGCAGTTTGTGAACTAGGAAGATGTTTTGAAACTTATAAATATCTGTTTATGCTTATTTTTTTTGTAGCCCATTTGCATTATAATGACCTAAAGGAGGTATTGTAATGGCAGATTGTGCAGAAAGATGTCACCTCCACAGATGTTGACTAGTGTCCTGCTGCTAACTCAATGGAGGCTTGTTTATGCATCTTGCTATAAATTTAAGTCCAAGGAAGCAGATGAAGATGAGATATTTTGTTTTCCCATATGCAGGCCAGTTAAGATTACAAAATCACTGCTATTTGTTTATGAAGGTTGATGGACAATGGGGTGCTTTCTTTTGGTGATTCTTCTGAGCAGAAGTGATGAATCTATGGTTCAAATGCTGATAAGCCCACTTTGGTAAGTTTTTATAGGATTTTCTGGTGGAATTAATGTTATCCATTTTGTAATGGGGGTGTGGTTTCTTTTTTAAAACTGATGATAATACTCAATGACTTGTATTTATGACGTTATTTAGAGTTAAATGTATAACGTAAAGGGTAGTTCTTAGAGTTAAATGTGTATGTAAAGGGTAGTTCTTAGTTAAAAGAGCTTTCATATTACTTGATGTGTGTCCATTTAGCTATTAATGAGCTTCAAGCTAAGTGCACCCCCCATTTCTTAGGGATTCAGAACCCCTCCATTACCCCTTACTTTCAATTCCCCTCAATACAGTGTTAGATAAGTGACACCTATAAAATTTTAAATTTTAATGGATAAGATTTTTTTCTTGTGATAAAATTCTTTAATAATGGTTAACACTCTACCAATAATAAAATGAATGAGTAAACATCTTATTCATTGAAATTCAATATCTTATACGTGTTACTCATTTAGCATTGTATTGAGAGAAATTGAAGGGAAGTTGATAATGAAAGAGATCTAAATTCATTTCATAGTTGGAAAGTAGAGCAAATTACATATGTAGTCTTCAAATTTTGTATCAAAGTCCCTCAACTTTTTTTCTTTTTTTCTGTATCAATTGAACTTTTCTATCTATCCCTATTAGAGTGTACCACTCATGTGACTATACAGCACAAAAAAACTTAATTGACCCAATAACTATAATTTGAGGATCATATTTATAATTTATTATATTCATTTGTATTACATGAGTGACATATTTTACCACTTTCCAAAATTTAACGGAGACAAACAGAAGGATTCAAGTTACAAGAAAATTTAAGGACTTAATTAATACAAGAGTTATAATTTAAAGGTTATATATGTAATTTATTTTGAAAAGTATGACAAAAACAAAGACACCGATACATATACATAAAGAATGTGTCAAAGTAACAAAAAAGCTGGGAAGTAAATTTCATTGCAAAGGAAGTGTTCAAATAAGCTGCCCTCGGCAAGCAAACATTATTGTCCAAGCTCATGATTTTCCTCTGATCCATCCCATTACTCCTGCACCCTAGGTTTCTGTGGAAGTTGAAAAGGAAAATATTCTTCCCCTTTTTCTTTTGGGGGTGGGGTTTGATTCAAAAGAAAAAGGAAAGGAAATCAAAGCACACACGTGAACAAGTAGAATATACTAGGGCACTTGAGAGAACCATGTCAAAGGAACTCGCCAAAATGACCCCGTAACTTCAGGAGAAGGGGTGTTGCAATTTATAATGTTCTCCACGAATGAACTTTATAAATTCGAAAGCACGAGTGAATAAGGGTTTGATTGCGACTGTGACAGCCTCAAATCAATTCGAAAGCACTGGGGCAACATTCATTTTTCCCCATCTATGCAAATGCTTCTCTCTGCTTTACGGGGAGCTCTAGTTCAGGCTCAAATTCACTAAGGGGAGAAAAATACCGGTCCACCATGTCTTTAGATACTTTCTCCAAGCTTGGAGGATCCCACTGCATTGTTGTGAAAATCATAAGTACATGAGACCGAAAGAATGACAATACTGCATCTCATTACAGATAATTGAAAATGCAAAATTGCCACAAAGAAATTAGATAAACTGATGCAAAAGGAAAACCATTATATTTCCGAGGCACTAGTATCTTATTAGAACAGAAAAGGCATGATAATATAGTCTGTGTTGACGATACCTTTGGTGCAAAATCTTTATCCACCATCCGTGCCCGAACCCCCTAATGATGACACAAGAATAAGACAGTGACAAAGATCATTGAAATTTGCACCAGTGAAATAAAGATTCAGAGAGCTTCTACCTCACAGAAATCATTGGAAATCTGCTTTGAGAATCCTTGTAGGGACATACGATATTCACGAGCCAGGCACTGATCAAGAGTCTGAAATCTACCATCACGTATCTAAACAACAGAGGGTCAGCCCAAGAAGCAGCTTGGTTTGAGGAACCAAATGGAGTTAAAATCCCGAAGGAACTTACAGATCTTAGCGAAACCTTCAAGCTCAATGGTGAGGCATCTTTTAGTTTCTTCAGAGTTGAAATGCACCATGCATCATGTGTTTTGGCTGCTTCGCTTTCCTGAAAAAATTTTGTTCTGGAAGCATGACAAACATCTTTCCCTCAAAATTCTTCCACGATATGATTTCCTTTTTCCTTCATCAGGTTTCTTTAAAAAATTCAGGAAAAACATAACAAACCCCAACAAATCCCCATGAACAAGAAGATCAAAACTTATCAGATTGATTCACGGTGTGGGCAGCATGCATATAAGGAAAGGGGTAGAAGGATTTAATGGTATCTATTTTAGTCTGAATATTTGCCTCTAGAAATTTCAATCTAAAGAGGGAGGAGTCCCTTGCAAGAGACACTATTTAACAAGAAAAGCTCATTTTCCATTTAAACAACTACAAAGTAGCTAAATGCTGTCTGAACATACTAGTAAGCTCTACGACAACTGCTTATTGAACGAATTAACTTCTCGATATTATTGACAAATGGAGGCAATGCCATGTTTCTTTTGATACTTATTATCCGTTCATGGGGTGGATTCCTTGTCCACTACTTCTGTTTAATGAAAGTTTCATTTCATAACCCAAAAAAAAAAAAATGGAGACAATCCCAAGAACAACAATAAGAGAACTGTCTAAGAGAATATTGTCAATACATTACAAGTAAAGGTTAGATATTTGTGTATCAAATGCATATCAACTTACATGCATAGGGTGTCGTTTTCTAAACCAATAAACACAGTATATGCTTACCAATGCATCAACAATTTCCTCCACTGTGTCGTGGCTGAAACATTTATTGAGTGTTTCAATCCTAGACAATCAATCGGATAAAGCATCAGCTCGAGTCGTTACATCAATGAAATGAGCAGAGGGATTTCATTCAATAAGCAAGAAGTGGATATGAAGGAACAGCAACTTATCCCTCCTCCAGAAAAATTGGAGAATAAAAAGCTTTATAAAATACCATCATGGCTGATATCTCACATCAATAAAAATGGAATGTAGAGCCAATATAGAAAACGTTGAGATTAGTTACGAAGTGATATCACTTTTTACCCCAGGTGGTTAGGCCCTGGAACACATTTTTCTCCTCGTGTCTAAAAATAGGCAGACAACCCCCTCTCGCTTTCAGACCAAAGTGAAAAGGCGTTAACACACTTAATAGAAAAACGAAATGCCAATTCTATCCCTCCTTCCTGTGTACGTCCTCTTCCTTTTCTTTCACACGCATACACATATATACAAATAGAGAGGGGGAAGAGGGGGGGGGGGGTTAACTAAGCTTGTCTTTGTCTTGTTACTTTATATGCCAGTCTAACTTCTCTCATGAACATCATATCAGGGAAGAAGCTAAAAAAAGTCCTTGATCTGTTGTAAAATATCATAAGCCTATGCTTGCTGCAAGAAAAATGGCAAGACTTCTCCAATTAGGAAAGGTGCAATATAGAGGGGCAGCATTGGATGAAAGTCACTGCAAAGTAATATATGTTTCAGGAGCTGTCATTCATTTATGCACAAAGGGAAAATGCTCTCAAACCCCAACAGTCCTTGATCACTTATTAAACACCTCATAAGCCTATGCTTGCTGCGAAAAAATTGGCAAGAATTCTCCAATTAGGAAACATGCGATGTAGAATGACAGTGTTGGATGAAAGTCACTGCAAAGTAATATATGTTTCAGGAGCTGTCATTCATTTACACACGAAGGAAAAATGCTCTCAAACCCCAAATGTAATTCACTGGCAATGACTTGCTGGCTTAGCTCAGTTAGCCATTTCGTATATTTCTAGCACCAAAAGATGGATAAGAAAGAGTTGTGCCTAACTCTGAACTCATCACAACATTAGGGATGAGAAATATTACAACAACAAAGGAGAGCACATTGAGGAATTGTGGGTAGAATTAGAGACTTCATAAAGATCTACAATGCCATGTTTATGAGAAATCCATCAAAGAGTGCAAATTTTAACTGCTATGTCAGAGAACTCCTTTGTCTAAGGTGACACAGATCCGATATCCACCCCTCTATAGACTGTCTCCCACTCTCTCTCTCTCTCTGCACAGTGAGAGACTACTTGAGCACATATGTATACACAAATGTGTGTGTGTATATATATATATATATATAGTTGATATGTAAAGAAAAAGAGATTCATGTTTGTTTCTCTGGATTTCATTCACATAGAAATTGAATTTTGATTTCCCTCTGGGAGTGAGATACTTGTCACTGGGCAAACCTTTCGGTGAAGAATTAGATGGTTTGTGATGGAGAAAGCCTCCCAGTGAAGCTTGTCTTTATAAAACGCTGGCACTGTTGTATGTAACAACTCACCATATTCATCCCAATCTATAATGCCAAGAAACTTCGAAGGGGAAATGAATTCTATCTTTTACATGAAGGGCAGTCTTAACTCTCTCTTCTACAATTATTAAGACTGGACAAAGTGGTTAGACTACAAAGACGTCCCATAATGTACAAGTGCACAAATCCTCTGTAAGGTTTTACCAGAAGTCCCTAACAGCAGATTGAAACTTTTTAAATTCCAAGATGAAGATGGCAGTCAGATTCATTGGAATGGCTTCAACTTCAGGAGACACCCAAAAGCAACCCCTGGTGCATCAAAGTGCAACATAACAAGATCACATTGCACTTTGGCTATTGCAAACGAACCAGGTGGTACCATTTGAAAAAGAAGGCCAGACCCAGTAAATGCAGGATGGGCCTCATTTGAGGCTCTCAGCAAATTAAGTTACCCCTTGGTTGCTATGCATCGACACATAACTTTCAGTTGGAAGCATGAAACTACTGCACCTAATATGTACCAAGCTTATAGTACAACATGAGATCTCACAACTTTCTCCACTAACTCAATCATAGCAATGATACACTTCCATGATCAGCAAAAAAAAAAAAAAACCCAACACTTCCACCCATAAATGAAAATCATATAAGAATCCATGTAGATTTTATGTTAATCTTACTTATCAAACAAATAGAGGAGGGGGCAGAGACAGTGAGAGAAGGGGACCCACGTAGATTTCTCAGACTAATACCACTTTGTGTGCTGTGAAAAAGAAATAGAATGCAAAAAACATAATTTGCCAATTTGACCTGTTATAAGCATCCAGTAATGATATCATGTCGCTCATGGGATCATTACACCAGCCTTGGGCTAGTGCTCGATTGAAACTAGCCCTGCTCAACGATGGAAGGAACAGCATCCAAAAGCTGGGTGGGACTTCTTTTCGGCCATCAACACTTGAAAACATCCAATAAATTTTTTCCCAAGTGCACAATATCAAAATGACCCATGATCAAGGATTTAAATATTGTTTCATTTTCACTGAAATGACTGAAAAGCTTTACGTTTCCATGGAAACTAAAACGAATATCTGAATTCATATGTTTCAAGATGTTTAAATAAGTTTCGACCAATGTTTCGAAATGTTTCAAAAACAAAATTTTAAATTTTTTCTCCATTTTCTTTTGTTTTGGAAGTGTTTCTTGAAATAGGTCCAAGACATTTTCGTTTCCAAGGTCACTGAAATTATGAACCAAAACGAAATTTTAATCTTCCCAATGATGAGGACTGTAACTCAGTGGAATGATTCTAAGCACTGAAAAATCTCAAGAAAACAAAAACGTACCAGCGAATTACACTAGTATCATCGGGATGGGCAGTTTCACCAAATTTCTCTAGAGAAGTTTCAATGACAGAAGGATCATCAGTCACCAACTTTCCAAGTTGTTCTTCAATTAAAGGTAGTCTCTGCGGGAGAGGATTAAAAAAAGAAGCAAAGATGATTTGTCACAGCAAGAAAACATGTACACAAGAAGAATAAACAGGAAGGTTCCACAGAACTGACTGATGTAAGTGAATAGTGAGTTGCTAGTCCACAAGCAATCATTTCCACTCCCTTGAGTTTGTCTCCTGTTAGAGCCAAGTATTCTCCTGGAAACATGAATCTATTGTACATCAATCTCATTAATCAATCAGTCACCCTGCCTAGGTCCAAAGCCAAGTCACTAAATCAGTTAACAGAATCCATTCCCGTTGTTTCCATGTTCACAATTTTCCATAATAAGCAAACATGATTTAATGTTGAGAAATGATTGAATCCTAACAATCTTACTCTTTGAAAATAATCAGTACCAAATGATCTGGCATTACGGCTTACATGTTCTCAAATAGCTGTAGTGTATATGGTCACCACAGGTCAATGAATAAACTGATATTTCACATGGTCTAAGCAATCACAAGTTTTACATAATGAGAACCTAATCTGAACCATATGGACAAGGCTCATTAGCATCACAATGTAGATTTTCATGAGTTTGCCAATCCAGCTTCATGTATGAAGGTCATAACAATCAAGAGCTGTGAAATCACTTGGTACTGATTATCTATTCCTCCTCATATGTTTCGTGTGCTTGTAGTAAGTTCAAGGACAAATCACTTTTGCTGGTTACCACAGTTCATCAAGAATCACATGATCCTCAAAAACAAAGAAGAATCTACAAGAAGAGGAATAAAATAGATTGAAAAAATAATATTCAAGGGTCCAAGAAAGTTGAATGCCTTTGGGAAATGATAAGCATGGCACGGCTAACAAAGAGGTCAGAAGAAATATCAGCACATGCCAAATCACTGTGTTTACACCATCCTGTTATTCCAGCAGAAAAGCAGGCTCCACAACATGACTTCCAAACTCAGAAAATGGAAAATCAGAACAAATAGAGATATTTCGGCAAAGGAGCTCGGAAATGTATTAATGAGAAGGAGGTTCCATTACACAACTCTAATCCTACAAAAAAACTACAAACTCGTGAAAGGAATATGAAAGAATTCTAGTTATGTCTCCAGATCAAACCAACCAAGAACAGCTTAATTTTCAAACTTCGGGAGTCACGACAAGATGACTGTGCATGCTAAACTAAAAGAAATTAGGTACACATCAAAATTACCTAAACAACCAGGTAAATGGGAGAGGTAAAAAGATGCACCAGCATCAGGATGGAAGCCAATTAATGTTTCAGGAGTAGCAAAAACCTATAATTCATTGAGACAAAATATTACTGCATTTCTCAAAGAATATAGTACATTCAAATACAAAATGGCAACAGAAATGGACATTGTTTCAGCCAGAACCCCACCATAAAATGGAAGAAACATAAACAGTATCAAGTACTTGATTCTGAGTCCAACTTGTGCACAGCAAGTCAACAAAGTTTCTGTTGGTTTTATATATGACACAAAGGATGCATCCGAAGTGAGTGGAAATCAAAAACTAACTGAAGTACTTTAATATCATATGGAACAAAGATGTGAGTATAATTGCAACAAAAGACCCAAATTTATGCAAGTAATAGTCAAGGCAAATTTATCATAATGAGAATGAATTTCTTTTATCAAAAGGGATATGCACTTTTCCTTTCCTGGAAATAACAAATCTTATAGAAAGTGAATAACGAAGCACAACGGTAGAAAAGAGGTAAAAAATAACAAAACAACAACAATCTCATAAATTCGTGCCCGCAAGCACCAGGACAATATTTAATCTTTTATTTTGATTTATTGTGATTCAATTTTTTTTGTGATGCAAATATGCAACTTGTAGAATGTCGAGTTATTTTAATTAAGGGCATTATTGAAATTTGCAACTTAATTTGAATTAATATAAATATGGGTGATGAGAGGAGAGGTTTTTTAAGTCTCACTCTCCTTAACCTTAATCTCTAATCTCGTTCTTCTCTCTTCTTCTTTCTTGCCTCCTTTACATTCTAATCCTTAAAACCTTAACCAAGGATTAAAATATCGTGTCGAAACATCTGAAACATTTCAAATTTTCAACACACCAACACGAAATAAGGGTGAAAAACTAAAATTCCTGCGTTTCGAGGGAAACATTATTGTTTCGGTCGAAACACTAAGGTTTCGACTAAAACAGGTACTTGATTCGACTTGCAATGTCCAGACTCCAGACTTGTCTAGCCAAAAAAGGGAGAGTTTCTTTCCCTATGACAACCTTATCTAGCAAAACAGAAGAGAGAGAGACATAAATAGAGACAAGCTCATAAATCAAAAGAAGATGAGTCAAGAGCTTACCAGGGCTTGTCCTCGCATCCAGATTCAGCCTCCTCAAGGTATGATCTTCTTCTTTTCTCTTCTTATTCTCTGTTAATGGCTAGTGCTAGTCTTGATCGGTTTGTCTTCTCTCTCTCAAATTTGATCGATCGGAGTCTTCATCGATCGGAGTCTCAGATCTTCTCTCTCTCTCTCTCTCTCTTTCTCTCTGAGTTGATCAGAGTCAATGATCTTCTCTCTCTCACTCAGGTCTGAGCATGCGACTGAATGGTGTGGTCACCGTTTGTTAATTTCCTTTCCCCACTTTTATTTTGTTTTAATTAACATTAATGTCATTTCAACCCCCCTTTTTTTCCTTTATAATTTTTAATAGCTCCAATAATTAATAAATAGCTTATTATTGTTAATCAACTTATCAAAACAACTGCAATTAATTTTATGGTATATTTAATATCTGAAATTAAGTATTTATGTTTGTAAAAATTATTCATGCAATATTTTTAATATTAATGACATAATATTACTTAGTAATTTGATGACACAATTTAAACTAGTAATTTAGTATTATAATAATACGCAAATAATAAATTTGTACTCATTTTAATTTAAAGGTGCTATACATGTCATATTTAATTAAAAATTGTCATATATACATGTAAAAATGTGTTAGTTTTATGAAAATTAAGTGTTTAAAACTAATTGAAGTGATTTTTGCCTCGTGTCAAACCCTTTTTTTTGTCTCAAACTTGATGTTATCTTGTATAAATGGACATTAACCCAATAAATATGCTCAATTAATCAATTATTAAGCTTATCTTTACAAATAAATAGATTGTATTTGTGTTTCCTTATTTTTTTTGCGTTTCTATTTGTGTTTCTGAAACGTTTCTGTTTTCGAGCTGACTGAAACAATACTTCGAAACGATATTTTGATAATTGACCTTAGCATCTTGAGATTTCAACTCAACCATTAACTTATCTTATTCACAACTACTAGTCAATACATTATTTGGAATAACTATTCTCTTTGGAACACTTAATTCAAAAATGTAGAATATATATACCTTGTAAGTGTATGAATCATGAACGTACGTTATGAGTGTGCTTCTTTATTTGTGGTACATTTTGCTGGTTTCGGGTGTGGTAAACAAGCTTCCATTTTATGAAAGTGTGCTTTTTTGGCCATCTTTAAGGTGGTGTGGACAAAGAGGAATTGCTAAATTTTGAAGGAAAGGAAGAGGACAAAGATTTATTATAGGATAAAGTGAAGTTCTTGGCTTCTATTTAGGCGGTGGTATTTAATGTGTTTTAGGACCCTCTATCTCAGGTCTTCAACACAATTGGAAAATTGTTTGTAATTGATAACTCTATTTTTTTGCTTACTTCATTATTGTATTTTTTGCTTTTTTGGGTAGATTTCTTATCTACCATTTATGTACACTTTAATTTTTTATGAAATAAAAGTTTTGTTTGCTATCAAGATCATAGATATCGGGATCATAAATACACCTAGTATTCTACGAATTGAGGTCGCACGACCCGAAATGGGGTGAGTTCGCGCTCTAGATTGCTTATAGTCCTGAACCCAAATTATAACTCAAGCCAAACTAAGTAATCCTATATCATTGCTCTAACCCCAAATCATAATTCTAATTTGTTACTTCTTTATTTTTGTGTTTTTTAAACATATTTTTGATTTGTTAGAATTTGAAATTATTTCATAATACATATATGCACAATTAGCTTTTATTATTAATGATCGTTGGTCAATACATTATTTTGAATTGTGATATGTTTTTAAATTATTGTCAGAAATATAAAATAATTAGTTATGTATGAGTATATGGATGTATGCTTCTATATAAAGTACAAAGTGAACCACAACTAAAACAACGTACCAGCTAAGTCTAATCTCATCGTACCACGTATCGGAGAAATTATCGTACCAAGTACCGGAGAAATTATGATCAAGATCTATATGTATCAACTAAGTCTACCCCATTGCATCACACCCTAGTCACGTGATCACACATCATAATGCCAAATATATTTTTCCTCCTATGCCCAATCTCTACTGACCAAAGGCTGCCAGCCACACAAAAAAATAATAAGAATTTATCTCTCCCCAAAGATCGCTTGTCTAAAACCTTCAAGCACACTAAAGCTATCAACTTTAAAGCATCACTTTGACAAGCCCACAGTGAATAGTACGTAACACAATCTCTCAACTACTACAGCCATTTGTGCCGATCTCCCAATAGAGTAACAGTCGAAATCGAGCTTACCACCCCCATAAAGCATAGACACGGGCATGGGATATAGACACGTTGACACCGAATAAATCCTAAAAAAGACACGACTATGACATGCCACATATAATTATGTCTTATACATCAACTTATACAGTTTATCTATGTAAACATGACACGTACATAGTTTAGGGCTTATAAACACATCATGGCTAAAAATCTGACAAAATAGATGTGTTCTACTCCATGTTCAGAGGACAATGTGCCTGAAAAAGCATAAATGCATCATGGCTGAGGATCTGACGAAATAGATGCCTCTACATCAAGATGTGCGGAGAAGGATTTGTGTATGCAATCCCAAGAGAAAAAGGCTTGAAGCTGATGGTAACAGACTTGCAGATCACTGTCCCTCTATTTGCGCAAGACCTCCTTCATAAATCTTCAACCAATTGAACTAAGATTGAAACAGTATATCACACTAATCACCTTCCTTGGTCCTTTCTCATTATTAAGAATCTTAAATTTTTATCAAACTGTATTTCTCTGACTGAGGTTTTCGCTAATCACTTCCATCAAGGACTCAAGTGCATATGTAAAGACCCAAGTCAACGACACAATGAATTAAATATAGTTGGCTTAACAAGCACGCATAAAAACTCAAACATAGGAAACAATCAAGTCACAAATAATATAAATGAAATTTAGCGTGCTTTTGCATAGTAATTATACTTTCTCAAGTAAAACAGAAATGGAGAATGCTGATCACATTAATTATCGGACAAAAAATGAGAGAAAACAATGAAAACGCAAGAAAAATATGTCTGCTTCATACAGTTTTGTCAGTTGCAACCCGAAATGTCCCTGGTATTGAAACTCCAGCCCCACCGCCCATGGTAATCCCATTCAAAATAGCCACCTGCATAGTGATCCATCAACTAGTGCAATTGTAATGACTACATCTCATTAAACATCATCTTGTTAATTAAAGGACAAATGACCGATAAAAACTATTATGCCTAAAACTCTTCCCTTCGCGGCCAGTTAAAATAAAAAGTAAAAAGCAAAAAGATCCTGATGGGAATTCTCAATCTGAGTGGGTCGTTGCAGATGACAAGAACAACAAATAAATAAATAGGATTCATGTAGCCGACCCCAAAAATGTTGGGACAAGACTTTGTTGAGCTGAGTTGTAGTATAACTCTTTCTCCCCGGTAAATTTGATAGTGTCACGGATTAATAACTCAAGAAACCATTCTGTCCACTCAATGCATTCTTTTTGTAGTGTTAATATGAATGACTTCTCCTGCAGATAACTTAATAAATGGAAGGTGTGCATAAATTTTTTTTTTTTTTGTGTGTTGATGTGTGTGTGCACGAGCATGAAACTTGGCAGTGCCAGCTGGAACTCGAGCCAAAATTGAAACTTTACTATTGGCTATTTAAGCAAGAAAACTCCTCTCACTCTATAATAACATTGTCACATCATCTCATAATGGATTACTCAAACAACTCTTGCAAATGCTACTTTGGTAAATAGAACATACCAAGAGCAAGATGCAACAAATACTAAAGGGCACTTAAATCAGTCAACCAGCAGAGCCTTCTTTGACTCTCAAGCAAATCCCTTGGAGGATATTTATCTCCTTATTTGACTCCCGGATTATCAGTGGCGGAGTGGGAGTGGACTCATTGTTCAAGTGGGAGTCTTAGGTTGAGTTGAATAGGTCAAATGCGGAGAGCTGACAAGCTAGAGCTCCATCAAGCTACAAGCTACAGAGCTCCTTTGCCGAGCTTAAATTCTCATCATCAGTTGCTCCTCATTTTATAACTCAACGTGACTCACATGTGCTCCTTATTTAATGCAGTTGTCCGTTAGTGCCTGGGGAGGAGGGAACGTGAAGCATGCAAATGTAACTGCCAAAAACCCGTTGTGGGAGCTAGTATTTAAATGCTTCTTGTCTCTGGTGTCCAACATGTCTCAAGAACCTTCCAAGACACCTGGTATGCCTCTTCTCTCTCTCTTGCTCATTCTTATATTCTCTTTCTTTTCGCACTTAGTCCTTCGGTGGAAGAACCACAAGATCCGTTAAGAGTTTTTCGTAGATAGCTTTACTTGCTCTCAACTAGAGTTCATTTTTTATTCTTGCCTTTCTCTTCTTACCTATAGAGTTTAACCACGGTAGCTTTATTCCAATGCCCGAAGAACATAGAGATTCAAAACGAACCTTATCTAAGAACACCCCCCTATTGTTGTCTGGGTGCACCCAATGCTACAGGAGACATCAAACACCGCACCGCAAAAGGGAGGAACACACCCTCATCACAACAAAAGTGGCAAAATGGACTCTCGACCAAGAATGGACAAGAGTGGCAACCTAGGCGTGACTTGCCTCCTTCCCTGCGAAAACAAGGCACAAAACTGGGATTGCACAGCCGACAGAATTGGCATCCTCAACCTACGAGACATCATTGCTCGACTAGCCCAGTGGACTAAGAGAAAGGGTCCCCACCTAGGGACAAAACAATATGGCCCTCCTCAATGGAGGACTGAACAATAGGGACAAACGAGCATAATTGTCAACCTTTGACCTTGGGCAGAGTTTTGAAGGTTTAGTTTGCTCAAACATACCTCCCGGTGCACGGACTCACTGGGATGTGCTTAACTAAAATCCGGACGGACTCCAAAGGTAATTGGGGTCATTGATCCATATCAACATATGGGGTAATATGACATGTGGATTAGTGGCTAAAGGATCAAAAGATTCGAAACTATGTGGGTTTCCTTTATTGGGCGCATTAACAACAAGTAGGAGCGTGTCGGGAGCATCGCGAACATGGTTGTAGCACTTCTCCTTGGGTGCATCCAAGTTGCATTAGAGGAAACATCACATCCACTTAATTAATGTTGGAATATGTGATTCACAGGGAACGGTCACCAGTGTCGCCACAGGCGTGAGTGTTAGAGGATCTGTGTCAGCTTATATTATAAATACCTACATTACTGGCCCACTGCGGAGGATCGATTCAATTTTTGACTACTCGACTGGTGAGAGCACTTACTCCATCTACCTATCCTCTGCCCAACTGATTGGTCCTTTCATTAATAGGCTGCTTGAATTTCATTCATTCCATCCACTTATCACACTCATCACTTTGAGTATCTTTGACATAAACACGTGTGTCAGCCTCTGTTAACCACCCACCTATACACCCCTCCTCAATCAAAGGGTAAATCTC